CAGTCCCTGATTACATGCGCCACTGGTATTTGTTATGCCATTAGATTTTATTCAGAAATTGAAATTAAATTACCTGACTAAACTGCTTTGTGATTGCATGGATAAACACCTTGATTGGATTGTTGGTACTGAGTTTGCTAGCCAATGAGACAAACCTTTTATTTTAAAATTATGAACAGGAAAAAGCACAAAATAACCAGAATTGAGATTTTTTTAAGAAAATGACTGATAGAGGAAGCGTGTCAAATAATTAGTTTGAGAGGCAGAGCAGCAAATCAGAACAAATAGCTGCTTACAGAAACCATTCAGTGGAATGTGAAAATGCATCATCGTAACCTACATTTTTTTTTACCGAGAGATTTGCAGCTGACTATCCGGGTGACTCATTCCTATGCTGGGAGGGTGAGGTAATGCTCTTGTGAGGGCTGATGTCATTTCTCTACCTGAACTGCATGCATATATCACTTCTTGCAGGCTCTCAAGGAAAAGCACCATCTGCTTTCACATATGCAGCCTGAGAGCCTTTACAAAGATTGGCGCAAAGGGCCGCAGCCTGTGGATGACTCATAAGCAGCCAATCAGTGAAGAGCAGATATTCAAATTTTAAAATCATGATCCAAAAATATGACATGATGATTGAGTATTGAATCATAGGCTTTTTTGTTGTTGTTTTGGGTTTTACATTCTTCTCATTGATTTAATGCTGTTGAAGATGAAAGTTTTCAAACAAGGCAGTTTTTTTCCATATGGTCAGTTGTATCAAATTTTCTTATTTAAACCGTATTTGTAATTGCAGGTAAGTTTGTTTTCTTTTCTACTTGGGAGCAAATAGATCATCCTTAAAGAAAAGATGAATTTAAGTATGTATTAGTTTGACAGTCTTTATTTTCATTTTTTGTACTTAGGAGCCATTGTGTTCCCTATGGACCTGCTAGTGCTTTAGAGGAAAAGATTGTTAATGGAAGAGGAAACAAAGTAAATGTTATCTGTTTTTTTACTACAGACCCTCTAATTCTGCTTGTTCTTTCTTTTAGTGATGTCTACCTGCTTTCCCTGCTTGCACTTGACTAGAACTACTGCAGGCATGACCAGATAACTGACACCAAATTTTAAACTTTATCATAATTTGAATTTGCTGTTTTAGTACCTAGACTAGAGAATACCAAACATAACATAGACGATAGAGAACAGAAAATACTTGATTTTCTAACTTACATTAACTAAAAATGGGAAATCATATTGGCTACATACTACCTACTGTTAAACTAGAGTATGTTATGCCATGCCCTAAATCTGCTCTTAATAACTTCAAGTTGGACATTCTACAAAAGATAAACTTAATTTTTTGAAAAATCTGTTTTCTGATATCAAGAAATATACAAAAGCAAACAATAAAATAGTACATTAAAACTCTAAGGTAATATGAGGTGGTATTACATACTGCTGTCATTTGAGTTTATTAAAAATTAAGTGTTTTTTCAATACAGAGTAATGGTTGGAATCTTTACCCAGAATTGTGATGAACCTTTGATTTAATGATATGGCCTTCTGAGTTTCATTACAGAGCTTCTGCAAGGCTCCTGGATACCTCTCTTCTATTTGACCTCTTACTTGTAAAGAATTTCAAACTATAGAAAGTTGCACAAATAAAAGTAGCACTAAAACCAAAACAAAGCAAAACAAAACAAAAACTAACCCTTATATATGCAGGTTTACCTACTCCAAACCTTGTTTGCTTTACATTTGAGCTCTCTCTTTCTCTTGCTTTTTCTCCTCTCCCGCACCTCCATACGTGCTTTTTTTTCTTGAAATATTTGAGGATAAATTAAATACCCATCCTGGCCCTTCCTCTTAAACTGTTTCTCCTAAATTGTTCAGTGTGTTTTTCCTACTGGAGGTATTCTCTTACATAGTCATTATCAATCACAGTACTGCTATCAATATTGATACTTTAATCGACCGTCCGTATTCCAATTCATCAGTTGACCTAATAAATAATAATGTCTTTTACAGTGTCTTCCACCCCCTAGTACAGCATCTAGTCTAGGGTCAGATAGTACATTTACTTGTCATGTTGACCTCCTTTAATCTGGATTTTTGCAGGCGTCATCTTTTATGGCATTGATATTTTGTAAAAATACAGTCTCTCTGCCCTTTAACAGAAAGAAGAATTTCCTCATTTTGTGCCTGTATTCCTTAATTTTTTGAAAAATCTGTTTTTTTCAGACTGTGTATTGGCTTAGAAAAATGTATAGGTGATAGTGTCCTCTTAGGGTCTCACAGCTGTCACTCATTGATGCTGTAAATTTTGGTCATTTTAGTCAAGATACTGTCTGACTTTTCCACTATATAGTGACTAGTTTTTTTGATTGCTTGCAACTAATAAGTCTCTGGGGACACTTAAAGACAATGCAGATGTCCTGCTCCTCATCAAGCTTACCACCTAGATTTAACGCCATTGTTCATTTTTGCCTGATGCTGTCTTTACTATGATGGTTGTAAAATGCTAACTTCTCCAACTCCAGCCCTCCCTTCATATTTCCAGCAGACACTTGGCATTTTATTGCAGCAAGAGCCCTCCCTTCTCTCCTATATCTTACTGGTTTTATCTACTTGTTATCAGTATGACTCATGATTTCCTTTTTTTTTCAATGCTTTATAATTCAGTACTTAATTATGTTGGTGTTTAAATTGTTCTAGATTTGGTCAGTGGCATGCTTCCATCTTTTCTGAGCACAGGCTTACTTTCTAGAATAATGGTATGTTAAAGGCTCACCTTGTACCTACCCTGCCCCGACCCTGGAATCAGCCAGGAGCCTTAGAGCCTTTGTGGGAAGTGGAATTAGGTAACAAGATCTGGTCACTAGATTTGAGTGCATTACTTTTACAGCTGTGGTGTAAACACCATATAGACACAGATGAATACACATTCATGTACCTGGTAAATACTTCTTAGAGGTACAATAAGCAATTTTTGAGAAACTATTGGTGCCCCATTTTATAATTTATAGTTACAGCAAAAAGTAAATTACAGTATTAAGGAAAGGGAAGATTTTTATCAGTAAGCTTACACTGTTAAAATTTTCTTGGATTTCAAAGCAAAAATGTAAATGATGCTAGCCTGAAGACCAGATGGGTTTTCAGTGGACAGTGTTGATATACGAGTGTGTTCCAGGCTTATGGCATTGACAGTGACATAACTGAACAAGGGCAGTACTGAATATCACACTAAAGTATTGATGCCCGATTTCCACCTATGTAGGGCAAAGTGAAAGACAGCGAGGAAAAAGTTGTTTGAGGTTATGTTTAGAGGACTTTGAATGTCAAGCTTAGGATTCAGGGTCTTTAATAAGAAGATAATAGAAAAGCTGTTGGAGATTTTTGAATAGTGTCATAACAAGCTAAACTCCAGCTCAGAGATTAATCTAGAAGATACATAGAGGTTAGCTTGAGGAAATTTCCAGTTAAGAACTATAAGAGGCTATTATAATAGTTCAGGCAGGAGATAGAAGGATTTGAACTAGAATAGAAAGAAAGAAGTGTATGGTATTAGGGTAGTGGTTTCAACCTGCCCCCTAGAACTCCAGAGCTAAGGGGCAGCGCTGGGGGAAGGGGAGAATGTGTGAGCCAGGCATGCTGGGGAGTTTTCAAGAAGTATCCCTTTAAAGATAGCAATCTGCTGCTTAAGGAACAAAGAGGCATGTAGAGAAATTCTTTTTTTAAAAAAAGTTAAAACCAACATTCGTTTGGAGTTTTGTTTTTTGAGTATACTTTCACGTTCCCTTTTTCCAAAATTGTGAGCCTGGATGATTAAGGAAATAGTTGTGCCATTAGCTGGAGTAAGTCAAGTTGTATATTTTTCTAAATACCAAAATGTCAGTGTCACAACGCCACAAACACCTTTTCCCAAGAAACAAGATGATTTTGGCCAAAAACTTCAGAATTAACTCTTTTATTTTGCTCTTTCTGTACAGGGAATCCACCATGAAATCCTATTGGCTTTACTTCCCAGTTATATCCCAAATCTGACCACCTTCAACACCTCCAGTGCTAACCACCCCATTGGAGCCATTGTCCTCTCTCTCTTCTTGCTCTGCATGCCTCTGCAGCCTGCTTCTTTCCCTGTGCTTCCTCAGAGGGCATACTTCCACCTTCAAGGCCTTTGCAAAGACTGTTCCTCAGTGATCAGCATGGTTAACTGTCCCATGTACAGGTTTTGCTCAGGTGTTGCTTTCTCAGTGGGGCCTACACTGAGCTCGTTTTGACCGTCCCTTCCCCTCCCATGTACACATTTTCTAGTCATCGTTTATCTATGGCCTTTATCACCTAACATACTCTTTAATTATTCATCATGTTGTTTGTCTTCTGCCACCAGAGATTGAGCTGCACAAGGGCACTGATTTTTTGTTTTGTTCTGTTTTGCTCACTGGTCTGTCCTAAGCAACCTAATCATACCTGGCCCTCAATAAACATTGTTAAAAAAAGGACAACAACTGAGAGCATAAACTCAGTAAGATTGGTTACCAGGCTTCCAGCTTATAGCAGATTTGAGAAAGTGAATAAAATAAAGGATGGGACGCTGCTTATATCAACCTGTGCTCCATGGATCTGAGGCTATGAAGTAGTTGCGCTGGGTAAAATAGGTCTGAAAAACACTGCATTTACTTCCCTTTATTGGAAAATCATATTGCATATTAGCATCTTAATCACCATGAGAACTCCTGTAATAACCTCTTCTTGAACTCACTTGATCACAAAATTCTTGGTAACTTACTCATTGTTAAGGGACACCCATGGCAAACTTGAGTTTGAGAAAAACCATACTAGAGCATTACGTGTAGGCCCAGGAGAGACTGGCAGTTCTTTTAAACTGCTTTTAGTTGGTGAACTGTGTCACTTCTTACGCTGCTCAGGAGGCTAGAGAACATCAGGCTCAAGACTCCAGCTCTTACTACTCCTCTTATAGTTATGGTCCTTATAAAAGTTAGCTCTTGTTTTAGGTATTTGGGAATAAGATGATCATTCCTTCCCTGGATGGAGACCTCTTCCAGTGGGACCGAGACCGCGAGAGCATGGAAACAGTTCCGTTTACAGTTGAATCACTTCTTGAATCTTCTTATAAATTTGGAGATGATGTTGTTTTGGTTGGAGGAAAGTCTCTCACTACATATGGACTCAGTGCATATAGTGGAAAGGTGAGTGAAAAGGTTGAACTTATTTGGGGGACAAATCAGAATAAATAGGGATAGAAGAAATAATTTCTTAAACTATACTATTACTGGTTAAAGTTTACAAGGATATTATTTGTTTTAGTAAAAGAACTGTGAAATAGAAGAGGGGAAATAATATTAAGAGAAACTAAATCTATCCAACATATAACAGAATAAAAAGCAGAATAGCAGGAGGAAGAGAATTAATAAATGTGGTCTACTGTGTGTCAGGTATGTTTTACATACATTATTTTGAAATTTTCACAATATTCCTCAGGATTACATATTTTTGTTTCCTGTGGACAGATAAGGAACCCTCTAAAGATGAATAATAATCCTGATAAGAATAGAATAGTGGCTACTACTCATTTGCTTACCTGCTTTGATCCTATAATAAGAGGATCTAAGGAAAGTTTGTGCTCATTTTAAAGATGAGAAAAGTGAGGCTTTAGAAAGTCCAGAAACTTCCAAGGTTAGGTGTGACTTACATCTTCTGATAATAAGGTCATGTTGTTAAGACCTAGACTTTCTCTAGTATTAATTCTTAAGATCTAATCATAATCTGCTTATAAGATTGGTCTTGTAATATAAATCCATTATTAGGAATAACTAACTGAAAGCATCCCTTTTAGAAAGGTAAAAATCTTTCTTTTAACCCCTTAACACCTTGATGTGTGAATATTTTATGTATAGACTTAAGACTACAACAAGGAAGGAGAAAACCTATATTCTGGCCCTGGAGTGTTTCAGACTTGAATGATTCCTCCTCTGAGCATTAGGCCCCCGGCACCTGTCTGCTTTTGGGGGTGCTTCTCTGCCGTATCCGCTGCCTGCATCTGCGTTGTACTGAGGGGGCCTTGGGATGCTATCTTTTGCCTTAGTATTCTCATCTGTGAAACCATGGATTTGAACCCTACTGTTTGTTCTCTGGTTTGTCATGCCATTTGCAAATTCTGCTCTTCTAGCAGGCATGCTTCTTTCTGTGAGGATGTTAGTTCAGACCATACTGTCTTTTTCTTTGAATGAAAACTTGAAGGAGGTACTTTTAAATATTACAGCTATGAGAAAAGGTTCAAATTTTTAAAAACCAAATACTTGGTTTTCATAACACTTCATTATGTAGAAACCCTGAGGTTGATTTTTTTTTAATTCACCTGAAATTTTATTAATGATACTACTGCTAAGATTCCACTGCTGATTGTCCATTTCCTCCCATATATTACATGGAAATCCTCAAAGTAAGACTATAATTATCTAAATCCTTAAAATCGTTCCCTGAAATAAATACTCATTATTAATTTGTGGTTCTAAATAAGTAATTTTAGGAGTTGTTGGTAATTAACTAAAGCTTCTTAATACTTGGGTACTTCCAACACATTTCATCAGTTTTTTATAAATTGTAGAGATTCTCCTAAGTCTCTGGTCTCCTATAACTTGAAGGAGGTACTTTTAAATATTACAGCTATGAGAAAAGGTTCAAAGGTTCCTTGGTAATTCTGCACCTGTCTTTTCAGGTGAAGTACATCTGTTCAGCTTTGGGCTGTCGCCGGTGGGATAATGATGAAATGGAACAGGAAGACATCCTGCTCTTGCAACGCACACAGAAAACCGTTAGAGCCGTGGGACCTCGTAGTGGCAATGAGAAGTGTGTATTCAGATAAAGTGGCTATTGATAATTAGAGGTTCAACAAGACCAAAATTTATGGGATTTTTCTTTTCTTTGTTGAGATTTTCTAAACTATTTTCTTGCCCTAAAAGCATACAGCTCTTTTTTTTTTTTAAGGTGTCATTGATATACAATCTTATGCTCAGGTTTCACATGAGCAACATTGTGGTTACTACATTCACCCATATTATCAAGTTCCCACCCCATGCCCCATTGCTGTCACCGTCCATCAGCGTAGTAAGAAGCAGACAGCTCTTTTAAGAGAAATGTAGGCCCTAAATTAAAAATGGACTTGCGATTATTAACAAATCCTGAACTGAAATTCTAACTATGCTTCTAGCTAAGGTAACCAGGAGGAGTCCCATACAATGACTGTGTATTAATGTACTCTTAGGTCAACAGTGTTTTTCATAGCAACCTCACGGATCAAGTTCTTTGCCTGCAGAAAGCTCTCAAGACAAAGTTAATGTACTTCATTTCAGCTTGAATCTATTTGAGTCTGTAGTTCTAATGGTAGTTTCAGAGTTTGTTTGACTACCCCACTTGTAAAACAATACTTTAGTCTATTTTCTTAAAGTATTGTGGTATGATTTATTTGGTCAAAAGCCCTTTTGCTTCCATTTTTGAATAACTTATTCCTTATGTAATTTTTACATTTAAATGTGTGATTTACAGATGAGATGATTGGATTAGATATGTTGCTCCTAAAATAAATTGCATGCTTGATTTTCTTAAACCTAACATTGAAATTTTAAATTGCCTGTGTAGTAAATGTAATTTTAGGTCCCTTCTTTATCTTTTGAAATTGAACCAGATTTTTGCTAATCTGATCCAATATAATTCAGTTTCCTTTCCTGAAAACTGTTTTCTCAAACTCAGTTAAGAATGTATTTTTGTACATTCGCTGGACTGTGACTGTGGGTGCTGCATCTGTTGGCAGCTTGATGTTCTTTATCCTGATGGGATTTTGTTTTCTTAAGTATTTAAGTGCTTGCTGGCTGCCTAGCCACCAGAGGAACAGATGTTCAACTTAACAGAATATTGAATGAACTTAATAGAAAGAGTCTGGGATCTAAGACCCATATTCCTTAAGTATATATTTTTTAACAGATGTTAGAATTCTTACGCCATTTTATACCTAAGTGACAAGACAGCATACTGTTAATAGTTAAATGATGTTTCTATATATTGATTATTGAGGAAACATTAATATCACCACTTTATGGATAAAGACACTGAAACTCAGCAAAGGTAATGACTTGCCAGTTCTCAGTCAGTAGAGATCTGAGAGGGGAACTGAGTGGTCTGACTGCAGGTTTGGCATACTGGGTCACATTGCCCTTCAGGACTGTGTTGTCATATAAATCTAAAATTGATACATTCATGTGGCCTTTTACTTTGGTTTATTGTGATATGCTAATTTCTCTCTATTGAATGAAAGGTGCCCAGTCTTAATTAAGAAGGAGGGCAGGCTGGTTGTTACCTCCTATTAAGGTCACTTTATTGTGTCTTGAGAAAATTGCTCTGATTTGGAAATGTGAACATCTGTTAATTTCTGAGAGGAATCTGTCCCTCAACTGAACTCAACTGTTGTCAGTTCAGTTCTCAGAACCATAATTTCTAAAGGGTCAGGGCAAAGCTATGCCCTCTTGTGGCATAAAACAGCAGAGCGCTCCCTTCCAGAAGACTGGTTGTTTCCTCCTCACAGTGTTTTAGTATTTGCTTCTTCAATCTAGAAGACTTCTTTATTATTGAGTCCCTTTACTTAAATGTAAATTTCTAAAACACACTTTTGTAAATTTAAGGTGGAATTTCAGTGTTGGCCACTTTGAACTTCGATATATTCCAGACATGGAAACTAGAGCTGGATTTATTGAAAGCACCTTAAAACCCAGTGGGAACAGAGAAGAGTCTAAAATCATCTCAGATGTGGAAGAACAGGAAGCTGCCATGATGGACATGGTGATAAAGGTCTCCGTTGCTGACTGGAAGGTTATGGCATTTAGTAAGAAGGGAGGAAACCTGGAATGGGAATACCAGGTACCAAAAGCTACTGAATGTTTATAAGTGTTTCTTCCTTTCCCTGTTTGACCAAACTTACTGGTAGAGGGAAATTTTGGATTCTCAACTTGTTTTCTGTGCTTTAAGCAATTTGCGGTTTTATATCTCTTAGAGTGACTTATTATGAAAAAGACAAGATAAGAGTAGTTGAGGATATTTGCAAACAGTGTACAACAGTGTATTTTTGTATGCCATTGGTGAGAATGTAAATTGGG